GGACAGGGGAGAGAGGGGGGACAGGGGGGACAGGGGGACAGGAGCTCTGTGCGTTTCAATGAGGATGGGTTATTATTGGGTGTGTGGGTGGGGGTGAAGTTGGGCGATGACTCGTTTTCCTCGCACCAGAGTGTCACCCACTTTGTTGAACACAACTGACGAGCAGGACATGCTCCGTCAACACGTGGCTCTCGGTCAACACCGGGCCTTTGATGACCACAGTCGTGGACGACACTGTTGTGTGTGAGCTGTCGGACAGACGACTGTAAAACTATCATTTATTAGAGTTCTTACATGAGTTGTAATCCATTACCCGTGGCTACGGCCTCACTCACCCCTCAAACCTGGGACAGAATTGAACCCCCACCTTCCCACTACTTCCCTTCCCACTGCCCCGCTGCTATAATAGGAGATCGCTGCAGCAGATAGTTTCCTGGCATTCTTGGCGGGTGCAGGGCCGACCTGGCAGCATGACGGACACACACACATGCCCTTAATGGAGATGCTCAAGCACACACACACGCGCGCTCACACACGCGCTCACACAAACACACTCAGCTTTCTAAGCTGTGGGAAAGGCTGAGGTAATCCCTTTTTATATATAAATCTCCATTTCCTCCCCTCTAAACTAGGCAAACCGCCCAATCCATTTTTTTAACTGAACACAAACATTTATTTCTAGATTTATTTTCCATCCAAATCAGCATCACAAACATCCCCATCCTGGTTTTCTTTTTCTTTTTTTTCCACAAATTGCTGATATGTCGTCTTGTTTTGCTGCTCGCTTTTGGTTCTTCTATGCTTAGCACATGTGAAAAAAAAATGTTTGAATTAATGATTAATAAAAATGTAATTTGCTAAGACTCCCCTCAGCAAAAATTATACAGTGTGTGTTTATCCAATGTGCTCAATTCTCCCAGTGAGGATTGAGATTAAGTTTATTGTGGGGGGAAGTCTGAGTAAGTCTGCTGCTCACTACGCCCCTCTAGTGGACAAACTAGGAACGACACTGCAGCTCGATGTGGCCTGTGCTGAAATGATGCTTAAATACACGATTATGGAGTTCAGTAGTTGGACATGGAATCGTTTTGGTCTCTGTCTTTGTTCAGTCGTTGCTGCTGAGGCAGAGATGCTGAAGATGCTCTTCCTCTTCTCCGTCTTCTTCTTCACCTCTGTGCTGAGTAAGGAGCAGCAGAGAGCTGTGGTTATGTGGCCGACAGGCACTTTACTTGCTGCATTAAGATATGCTTTGTTTGTATTATCGTCATTCAGAGATGAGCTTAATTGATTCTAATTGATTGGGTTATTGAACAGCTTTGTTGCAGGAATTAAAAGAAGAGACGATGCAGTAGCACAGTGGTGGGGGTGGGGGGCGGAGGGGGTTTGGTGCAGCAACGGACCGGAGCGTGAAGCCACTTCCTGTTAGGTAGGGCCGAAAATTTAGACTTTCTGTGCAAAAGATTTTCATGTGTTTACCTGTGTTTTTCTATTAATTATATCATCTCACTTGTGTGTGTGTGTGTGTGTGTGTGTGTGTGTGCGTGTGTGCGTGCACTTCACCTTCCTGTTTACCCCACATTACTGCAAGAAAAAATATTTCATTACTGCAACAAAAGAAGGCCATTAACTGCACCGTAAGAAGAGAGTTGCACTGCCTTTGCCCACAGTTGTGTTTGTCTGCGTTCCTGGCTGCTCTCCAGCTAATTTGATATAACAATGCTGCACGACAAAAACCGCCTCAGGACTTTTTTTAGGTGACAGGAAATTATCAATGATGCCACATGCGCAGCTGAATGTCAACACCAACTTGACTTGTTTATGAAATATTAAAGCCGTGAAATATGGGCAGCGCGCAGAACTTAATGATGATCGGAGTCATTACAACTTCAGCGTCCCTTTGTCTCGGCTAATGATTAAATTCCACGACTGTTGTCTTCGATTGTGCGGAGGCTGAATGTGTTTTTTTGTTTGTTTTTGCCCCTTTTGTACGAGTTGGCAGGATTCCATTGTCCACATTGGTACATTTTTGGAGAAAGTGGTTGATTTGCATAAAGACACCGTGTTATCGTCGGAGGCCATGTCAGTGGCGTCAACAAAAGCAGAAGGATTACACGATGCTGGGCTTCACATTATTTTTGGACAGTGGTATATCGTCCTTTGATGTATGGATAGGAAAGACAGACGAGGACAAATTCATTTATTAATCAGAAAATGTTGATTTATTTTAAAATATTTTCCATTCATGCGCGTTTGACATCACACAGAGGAAGTTTGAAGGGGATTTGATCTGAAAACCCTCACTTGGATTTTGCCTAAAATTTTTTGGTGTAATTTTCTTTAAATGCAATAGAAAAGAAATCATGATCATTATTGACAGGTAATTTTATTGTTGACTTTTTACACAGTATTTACAACATGCTCAGATAACGTGGTGTGAAACGGCGAGGGCGAGAACTAGGAAACTCTTGTGTACAACCTGGCACGACGTCTGACATTATCTGTGTCTGCTGCGACACCAGGGTGTCGCCTCATCAATTATTGACCCACTATTTCATGGTAATACATAATTTCCTATCAATTATTCATAATAATGTTTGTGTAGTTTACTTAATTGTGTTATTGACTATCAAAAGTAATTTCCCGGAAATCCTCAAGGACACAAATTGAATCAGTCCAACTCCTGGTTTTGTTGTCACTCTGATCAGCTGACGCTGGAGCCGTTGTGTGGTGACGAGGGATATTTAGGACGAGAGATGCACGGCCTGTGGTGATGATGATGAGCTGATGATCTGATATATTTTAAAAAAATGTAAATTCAATATTAATAAATAGCATTTATCATGTTTAATGAGGTTTATTAAAAACCACTCAGAGAGGAAGTGAGCAGGGAGGGACGTGAGCGTTCTTAAAAGTAAATAAATAATAAGCGTCAGGATTGCTCTCCTCTCCCACTGATAAATAATGTATATGAACAGATGGCTGGAGCGCGAGGCAACAGGAGAGGAACATGAGCGACTACATCTTTAATTGTTTTAAAAAACATGTCACAACAGGACTGGTGTGTTCCCTGTCTACTGGAGCCGCAGATGTGCTAACAGAGTGGAAGGGGACAAGTGTGGATCGCTCTGTCTCTGAGGCTGTCACTGCTGCCAGGGCTTCACACATGGACTGACTGACTGACTGACTGACTGACTGTCTGACTGTCTGACTGTCTGAATGTCTGACTGACTGACTGTCTGACTGACTGACTGT